TACATGTATGGGACATGTACCACTTTGTTGGGTTTACTCTTGAGGATAGTTAAGTGTTCTAAGTTGGCTAGTAAATGTAGTGGTATCGCAAAATCTACTACCTGTATAGTGAGTTACACCCGTATTAGGTAGAGTTAGGCCAAATATGTTAAAACCAGAGGATTTAAATGGGTATCCCTCTAGTTGGAGTACAGATATGGCAGATAGTGTAGAACCTTCAGGCGAACTATTTAAATAGGCACTCAAAAGGTGCATGTGTGGCTTGATATACCTTCATTATAATATATAGTGTTTAATGCTTGCCTAATAAAATCTTGCTAACAATTAGAATTACCTTTGCTAAAAAAAAAAAAAATTATTATTAAATATAAATATAAAAAATATATTTATTTTTATTATATATAATAAATTTCATAATATAAATAAAAAATTTAAAAAATATTTCTATTAAATTAAATAAATTAATTTAAAAAAGTACAATAAATATATAAATTTTATATATAATAAATACTTTAATATTATTAACTATTTATATAATAATATATAAAATATAATAGATTAAAACTTTATTTAAAATTTTATTTATTAAAAAAATATATTAATTGCTAATTCAGATAAAATTAGCACTATTGCTATATTAGTACTATAAAATTAAAGCAAGTTTTTTATATAAGTTTTATAATATAATAGAGTATTAGCTTAAAACAAAGTTTTTCTTTTATTAAGTTAATCTTTTTTTAAACTTAACAGAGTTGTAGAGCTCATTTTTGTAGTTCTAATAGTGGTAAAATTATCTAAATTGGCCTAGTAGTTCTTGAAATATTATAATTTTTTTTTTTTTTTACATATAAAAAACTTCTTTAAAAAAGTTTTATAAAAAGAAAAAAAAGTTATAATATCTCAAAATGGCATTAAAGAAGGAAAAATTCTTCTAGGCTAAGTGGATTGGAAGCAGAGATATTTTCAGAGCTGAACTCATGTGTTAGAAAGTGGGTACTGGAGTTGTTATAAACCCAATAAGAGCAGGAGTATATAATGAGTAACTAATTAGAAAGATTGTAGCTTGAAATACAGATTGGATTATGGTAGTATTCTAAAAGATAGCTTGAAATACAAACTCAGGTAATAGCAGCACAAAAAATACTAGTTAGAAAAAAATGTTACAGAACATGCAGATGAATAAATGTGTAGGATATTTATTGCTCTATTAGATTTATCTCAAGGATAGACTAGAAATAGTAAGTCCTAGAAGAGGTATTTATATGTAGTGTGTTATATTATAAGTATAATAACAGTATGTAATAATTTGATAATCTAATAAAGAACCCTAGCCAAAAGATTACTTTAATATCAAAAAAAAAATCTCAAGAACCACTAGGCCAATTTTGATGATCTTGCCACGATTAAAACTGCAAAAATAAGTTTTACAACTTTTATTAAAACTTGAAGAAAAGTTAGCTTAGTAAAAAGAAAACTTTACTTTGAGCTAATATTAAATTTTACTTTACAGTATTATAGATATCTAAATCTATACAATTATCTTTTTTTTTAATCTTTGGCAATCCTGCCTTTATTGTATTAGGAGTGTGTAATCTAAATATATAGTTTCAGAACAAAAAGCCTGCAATAAACTCAATGTCTTCTACCCTCCTACTCTTCAATAAAGACTTACTCAGCTGCTCATAATGGTGCCCAAGTGCGATCCGCCACAACAATAATTCATTCATCTTCGGCATCTAACTTGCTAGATGGCTCCCTGAAAGAATCACTATAAGCTTACTGCTAGCTTTGTCAAGATTGCCTTTTTCTTAACATTTTTCCTTCTTCAAAGGGGTATAGAACAAATGGGGGTAAGAAAACAAAAAACACAGATAAAACGAAAACAACAAAAACAAAAGGAAAAAGAAAAAACAAAGAAAAATATATAAAAAGAAAACAAATACGAAAGGGAATATAAAAGAAAAAATTACAAAAAAAAGAAAACAAAAAGGATAGCAGAAAATTCTGTCTTTTTGGCACTACTATTACCCGTGCCAGGCTAAAAAAATTATATAGCAAATATGATATTTGTATATCTCTAGTGTAAAGCTTCGCCTTATCAAGTAAATTTTTCGACTAAGTCATCTGGACTCCTAAATGACGTAAGCGGCCAACTTCGGTATTACGTAAAGTAGCACGGTCTATAAACAAAACAAACCAAACACGTGATCGCAGTCTGCCTGAACTGTCCAGATTTGGGAGGTGTAAACAATGCCGATCTTTTGGAGGGAGTAAACCGTTTTGCCCACTTTTGTGGGAAATTTTGGAAGAGCAGCGAGGAGGTGGAGAAAAGAGATGAAACCACTTTGTTTTGTTTAGTAAAAGAGTGTGTATTTTCTTTACTCAACACTGCATCCATAGGAAGGCATAGATACTCTTCTTATTTTTTCAGGTAAGTAATAAACTCTGGGCTTGTCGGCAAATAGCGTATGAGAACTATTTTTAAATGACAAGTGCCTGGCCCCTGCGATGAGTGATAAACTCTGAGGAAGTTAGCAGGTAGCATATGAGAACTACCTCTAAATAACAACTGCTGAGTTACAGAGCTTAAGGACTACTTCCCTGACTGTTTCAACCTTTACAGATGCTAGTTTTTTAAGAATTTTAGATTTTTTGTTGTGGTAAAAATGATCATCAGGAAGAGTTGTATATTTTTTTTCTTTTATTTATTTATTTAGTTTTATCAATTTTTTTTAGTTACATTATTTCTTTTATTATTTATTATTATCTCTTTCTTATTTATATATTTATTTCTTTTTCTTTTCTTTATTTATTTTCTTTATTTTGTTTTAGTCTTTAGTTAGCTAGTTAGTTAGTATTCCGTACATATGTAGTTCTATAGCCATATATATATAGTTAGTTAGTTAGTTAGATAGTTGTAGGATAGTTATACAGATAGAATATAGGTTGACGTTGTGCTCATGGTTACAGGATTGTTACATGATGCACATAATCGTGCACTATGATAACCTGGGACGCATAACTGTTCATGCGTCCTCCGCGACCCATAAATCCAACTACCCATGCAGACTAGATGACCTAGCTGTGACCTATACAATCTATCAAGCCTGCAGTGATGCAGAAAAACTGAATGTATTTAAGAGAAGTCTTTTCCCTCTGGTAAAGAAACATTCCCAGAACTATCCTCTTAATGTCTAATAAATCTATCTACAAAGTTAACTCCAAAAACTCGTAATCATTTGACCTACCTAATTTCTTTAAAATAATTGTCCCTACAACACTCGTTTATCTGAATTTCTGATATTCTCGATAGGATATCTGGAATTTTCGCAACACCACCCGGGTAATCAATATCAAACCTGATATATAAACAAACACAAGGCAAAAATTATATTACACTATTTGCATGTATGAAGAGCAAATAATTAGAGTTAGAAAAAAGAGCCAATCAGATTTAATTTTGTTTATTTTATTTGTTTATTTCTGTTTATTCTATATTGTTTATCTTATAGTGTTTATTTACTCTAATGCCTCTTTTAAAAAACTAATATTTAACCCATCGCATTACTCCAGATTCAAATATAAGATATTTAGTTAATTTAAAAACAATATAATATATATACAATAAATACTAATTTTAATGTACTGTTGATTTCATGTTTAAAACCTGGATATTATTTATCATCCTTACCATCCTATTTCTTGAATAAGACCCGTGGTATACCTATATTGATTTACTACTTTTAATACAAATATAGTACCCGGTTCTTCACACAGTATAGTATCACTATTCAATTTTTAAAAATGGTTTTGAATAATACTTGTAATATCAAATACTGTATATCACGTATTATTGGGGTGTCAAATGCATATCTAATTACAAACATAGTGCAGGTGCATAGTGAAAATCATTTATCAAATTTTTTTATAATTGGCAGTGGCAAAGTGATAGCGTAAATAGTAAAAACATATAAAATTTAAATTGCAATAACTCTTGAACAAGCAAACCCACACAAATAAAATTATATTTATCGGATTCACTTTAGTGTACTCTTTAAAGTAACAACGTCTTTTTTTATTTATTTTTATTGTTTGAAGCATATCGGAGGACGCAGTTTTCATACAAAATTGTCGTTTTTGATATTTTTTTAATAAAATCATCAAAAATGTCTTCTCGTATTGTATTATGCAATAGTGATCGACAATAGATTAAAATTATGGTCTTGATGTTTTATTAAGAAATATATCAAAAACGACAATTTTGTATGAAAATTGAGTCCTCCGCTATGATTCAAACAATAAAACAAAGGCGTTGTTACTTTAAAGAGTACGCTAAAACGAACCCGATAAATATAATTTTATTTGTGTGGGTTTGCTTGTTCAAGAGTTATTGCAATTTAAATTTTATATATTTTTACTATTTACGCTATCACTACGCCACTGCTAATTATAAAAAAATTTGATTAATGATTTTTGTAATTAGATATGCACTTGACACCCCAACGTATTATGTTCAAATTTGTGCAACAATAATAGGAATCATGTGTTATAGCAGTAGCCAATCAGATTGTATTTTTACGTTTTGTCGCCTAGAGTTTGTAACACTGCTGTGTATTATATAAAATCTTATACGTACGTAGTTAAGTAATTATTATAATGTGCTAGGCTTCGGACTCCCAACAGTTCCTGTTAACCTAGTTTATCTTCGGAAGAGATTCATGATATTATCGCTTCCAGAAACATTCCAAGTTTTATATCGACGCATCTATAAAATTTGGGAATCAAAAGTTTGTGTAACTGTACAACCAATAAAAGCCAATTTCTATCATGCTGTTGTTTATTCAAGATCCTAACTTTTGAACAAAGTTAAGTATTTTTTTCGCGTTTCTACCAATGAAAAATGAGTTAACGGTATCCTACACCCATATGGTTCAGCCCTTTGGCCGATGTTTGGATTAGAGTGCTGTGGGTAAATCGCTATGACTTGTTACGCGTTCGTAATGGCTCTTAGTGCCTCAGCCTGGGCCTCTATTCCAGAATATATATTGTCATTAAAACTTATTGTCATTAAAACTTCTGTTTTATTGTAAAAGTCCAACAGATTATTCTATTAAAATTATGTTGTTTAATATCACTACAGTAGCCTTCTTTTTGATATGGAATTTGATTATTACGCGGATACCTATATGTACAGTTCCAATTCTAAGGATTTGAGTGTTTTAAAATTTCTTAATTATCTAAAAGATAAAGTGGTATTCACATCAGATAGCAAACAAGAAATCCAGGATGCGCTTAAAAGAACGGTCGAGAGGGCTATTGATTCACCTATTGTACAACCTGGAATAAAGAAACGGTTAAAAAAAATGTCCGATAATATCAGTGATACTTTTGAAAGAAAGGAAATTGTTGAATTTTTTGCGGAATTGGACAAGGAGTTTGAGGCAGTAAGTAATTTCGGTTTTGCATTATATGGCCCTGTATATATATTTGAAAATATTAATTTATCGTTTGTAGAGGCAAAATCAACGAAATCTCGAGATGTCTTTTGATAAGTATAGCTCCGAACTATTACAAAAGTCTGGTAATTTAAATACATCGAGACTTTCATCTTATTATATGACAACGTCTGCCGAATTTCACGAAAAGGTAAGATCAATGCTTTTATTCTGTTCGTTCCAAGTTTGATTGCTAGCTTTAAACCCATATTTCTTTGTTATATCACCTAGGGAGAATCAACTACTGATCAAAGCAATTATGTTTCAAGAAAAAGAAGAGATGTTGATTTTAATGAGGAGCGAACAATAAAGAAGCAATATCAAGATGGATATACTACGCCACCTCCACTTGATAAAAATGAACAAAATGCAGATTTTGCTGTTGAGCAGGATACGGATAACATGAATTACCAGGAGCTGTCATCAGTTAAGGTCTGAAATCTCTATCTTTTAATATTTCATTATTGTCTGTTATTTAATAAGCCTTTATCTCATAATAGACATCATTAAATTCGGCTATCGAAAGGCTTGTTAATAGTGAAGGTGCGATAAATGTTGAGGTCCCAATCTCCAAGCGACCTCATGAGGCAGTTGCCTCTAAGAGTGTAAGTACATAAATAACAACCTGCAAATAATAATTAGTACATATGAATTACTTTCAAATCTTTTCTTAACTTTTGGATGTGCATACAGACTAAAAATAGAAATGAAGAGTCGGTTGAGAAACATATCTCTCAAGAAGATTTGTTAAACTCAGTGAACGAAACATCCAATACCTTCAAGCAAATCAAGTTCCCAACGTATTACGATAAACTAAAAACCATATGGGACACTTGTAATGCCGGAGCGAATTATTTTGTTTTAGATTTAAGAGACAAAAAAATATTAAATCAAGTGCACAATCTTTTGGAAGATCGTGAACTAGAATCGCTGTTCGAGAGACTGTCGTTAGAGGATGAGAATGAACATATGAGTAAGACTGCACGTGAATATATGATACTGTTCGACCAAATTATAGAAGAATCTTCGGAAGACGATGCGGAGGATGTTGAAGAAGAGGGTGAAGAGGATTCAGAGGATGTTGAAGAAGAGAGAGAAGAGGATGCGGGAAATGTTGAAAAAGAGGGGGAAGAGAATGTGGGGAATGTTGTTGAAAATAGTATCAAAATTGAAGATGAAGCTGTTTCTGAAATGGGAAAAATAGCACATAGTTTGAATGGAACAGCCAAAAAACTTCGATTCCTATCAAACACCATTCCCATTCCGGTGCATGACTACGATCAATCCCAATTTCCAGATGTACATATTATTAAAAGCGTCTCCAGTCATTTAGATGCTGTCACTAAAATGAAAGGCATTGTGAAGAACACTACTGAACGATCATGGATATCACATATTTTAGCCTATCTTTTTTTTATTACATTTAGTTTTCTTGATTCTGTGCAATATTTTTCTTGTGAGCGGACGATTTCTACGAAGATGGATTTTCAACTCACAGATTATAGAGCGGATGGAGTAGCTGAATTCTTTGAACGTCCAAAACAAATCCCGCTGTTTCTGCTTGAAGTTTCTGGAGACCCTGGTGATCCGGATCCCGATAAGTTCAAAACCGATAGACACAAATTAATGAGTGAAGGCGTCTTCGCTCTTAACAAATTTATGACGAAAACAGAACTCCCAACGTGGAACGTTTGTAAAACATTGGGAATTTTCCTTGCTCAGGCATTTGGTAAGCTATTTTCAGAACATTTTCGAGCATGAATACATTACTTTATTTTAATATATAATATACTATTTATTGCAGGTGATGAGCTCGAGATTGGTCAGATTATTTATATCGGTCCAGGATTATACCTATTTTCACCATTTACGATACCTAATCTAATTATTCCAACTTCCGCTACTAATTTGGAACATGTGCCTCGACTAATTCGAACATTATTATGTTTGCGATATAATATTGTCAAGAAGATCGAAAAATTTAAGAAATTCGAAAGAAGTGGACAACGTCGTATCATGAAACCCACAACTAAATATGCTACCGGGCTTTCACCAGGCCGGCTTAGAACTGTAACTTTTGCGGAATTTTTACCTAAAGAGACATCTAGCAAGATGAATAGTAATGGACAAAGGAATGTAGCAAGAGGAAGGGGAAGGGGTCGAGGAAAAGGTCGTGGTTCGGAAATTTAAAAGTTTGCTATTTTATTATATATGTTACTAAATATGGAATAAAATAGTAAAGCATTCACATCAGGCTTGTAAATAACTTAGGAATCGGGAACCGATATAAGTCTGGGACGTAAATAAATTAATAAATTTTATTTATTTATTAGGCCATACAAACTTAATAAATCAGTACTCATAGCAAAAAAAAATTTTAAAAGTGATCCGGCAAACCAGCTTTTAATTTTAAAGAACTCATCTGGATAGTAAAATATTTAAAAATTTTTTTTACAACTATTTTCATAATTCCTGGAGAATAGTCGATTCGATTAAGTTTGTGATTTTGGCATAATAGATTCAATAAAATTCATATATATACGTAATTAAGATCAGGCACTAATATAAATATTGTGAATATTTTATCTCTGACAGAATACAGAAATATGATATTTCAAAGCATCTTTGGAAAATATTTAAAAAAAATTTTTAGAGGCCTATCATTTCGAAAATTACCAACCACTTAGGTTTAGCATATCTTTTATAAGTCAGGTTCTTAAGCACTTTCAAAAATATGGATGTTAGGACAATTTGAACCAACTTGTATACAAATAAAAGTAATATTTATTTATATGCAGTATCTTCTTTTAACATGACTTCGTGCAATATGTTTATTATAAAAGTCTAATTAATATATAGTGCATTTTTTATATTTCTTGTTAAGACTTAATTGACACGAAGTTTAATAATGTGACATTATTATTACAACGGTCTGTAGAACAGTCATTATGAAACAAAAGTGCCGAAATTACAAACTTAATCAAATCGTCTGAAAATCATTCGGCCAATTTTTATTAGGTGTTCCAGAAATTATGAAATAGCTGTAAAGTTTTGTAAAATTTGATCCGGCCGATTTATTAAGTTTGTACGGCCTTAATATACCAAATAAAAAAATTTATCGAATTTGTACAGGTAGTTATTGAGAAATCTTCACTTAAAGTTTAAATAAAAAATTACTATAACTTTATTTTTTAAAGTTTTTTTTTTAAACTTTAAACAAAGATTTCTCAACAACCACCTGTACAAATTCGATTTTCTTTTACAGGTGTTGTTGAGAAATATTAATTAAAATTCAAGCCAAAATTTGGCTACAGCTTTTTTTTAAAAGTACTAAAATTTTGAGCAAAGCTTACTCGACACTTACCTAACTGAATTCAATCAATTTATTTTTATTTAATTCTATAGATTCGTAAAATTAAAATAAAATAAAAAAACTTTTATCAAATTTATACATGTGGTTGTTAAGAAATCTTTATTTAAAGGTTTGAAAAGTATAATTTTTTATGATTTAGCTTATATTTCTCTAAGATAATTTTTTACACTTTTATCAATAGTTTCTTAATGACTGTTAAACCAAACTCAATAAATCTTTTTTTATTTTGATTCTGCAAAAAATATAGAATTAAAATAAAAAAATTTTTCTAAATTTGATCAAGTAGTTATTGAAACCTTCGCTAGAAGGTTAAAAAAAATTTATAATAAATAACCAATCACAATTAAGGATTTGAAGATCGGTTTTACACTTATTGGATTTACTTATTTGCGCCGGTGATACAAATCACGTGCCAATAATAAATATTTGTTTGTTTATATTTTCGCTAATAGAATATGAGATAGGAACGGCGTTAACGTTAAGGTTAGGCCTAGAGTTTTTTGAAAAAGCCTTCGATTTCACGTTACACATATGTTACACCTGATCTTGAGATCTACATAGGAAAATTTCTTTTTTGGGTTTGCATCACCGGCGCAAATAAGTGTACGACTTTCATATAGGATAACTTTCTTCTGATTGGTCAATCACTTACAATTGTATTTATACAGTTTAAAGTACTTTTTAAGAATG